ATGGATTTATGGAAGTTGTTGCTTAACTGCACTCTAAATGAAAGGATATCCTGACTCAATATGTTATCCTCTTCCTTACCTTTCCTTCAGTTTTTTACTGTGTATTCTTGACAAGGAGAAACAAAATTGTAACCACCATAATAATTATCCTTCCTTACAAAAATCAAAAAGAAATAATCAGGAAATCATTCATTATAAAAACTACATATAGATGGTTCTAACCACCCAATCAAGGAATGATACTTCGAGTATTTTCAGCCCAATGGGATTTGGTAATTTTTGTTTCATGGTCTTGCATTGAATTTTCCCTGAGAAAAGAGGTATAGGGAGGCTGAGAAGAACTTTAGAAGGAAATTATTAAAAAAGGTCTCATAGAAAATAATATCTTCGAGAATTTGATTTTTGACCAAATGCAACTGCATCATGTGATTCACATAGCTAGCATTACCTAGTATGATAAGACTTTGTTGTTGGTGGTGGTGGTGGTTGTGTCGGTTGGGTTGGGTTCAATTTGGATTTTGACTTCTGTTTTTAGCTGAAATAACAGTCTTACGTTGATATGTCTCCAAATAATAGCATGAAATTTAAATCCTTAAAGGATTGGAACTTTATTCCTTACCCTTGGAGGATAAGTTATCGGTATGAGAAGCCTAAAAGTTGTAACCTTTTTTCTTTCTTAGTAGAATGATCAGTTTCATGAATTATGGCAGCAAAATGTGTCCAAGTTGTGCCTTCATGTAATGCAATCAAACCCTAGATATGAAGTGTGATGCTTAGGTTCTTCCATGACACTATCCTGCTTTCTTTAATTTAGAACCCTATCGAGATTTATTTTCTTTGGTAGACAGAAATATGAATCAATCCCATTGAAACACTTCTTTTTTTTTTTTTGAGTTTTCCCCAAAATATATCAAACTTAAAGCCTCGTTCCTATGGGTACTTTCTACAGCAATCAAACAGAAAATAAACTTACCTAAAAATCCCATCCTATTTTTTGAAAATTGCATGTATTTTAACATAACCCCAATGAAACTCCAATATTTTTATAAACTAAAATTCACCCAAGAAAATGTTAACCCATTAAATCTTTAACCATTCTATCATTCCTGTATATTTATGAGATCAGAAAAAATGTAATGCACTCCAAGCCAATAGTTTAAGAATGCGACAGAGAGGAGAGCCTACTTACAAAAGGTCCATGACTCAGCCAACTACGGGAGACTCATTCCCATGTCAGCTCATCAAGTTGAAAAAACTACACATTACTCAAGCAACAAAATTGTTTAAGACTACCCCTTACGGACAGGGCTTGATAATCAAAGATGATTTTATTTATTACTACAACATGAGAGGGAAAAAAATCTCAAAAATACTAAACAATCCACCCTTATAAATGTGTACAGACTAGACGACAAGGTTTAGAAGTTCCATAAAAAATTAGTTGCAGAATTACCAAAAGCTAGACTGCGCCAATTCAATACCAAAGGTGCAATTAGGGAAATAAAAATCCCTACCAGGGAAAATAATCTGTTTTCAAAAGCACCGAAAGGCCATGACAAAATCTGCGGAACCAGACAATTTTCTTGAACTCCTCAATGGCCAATCAATTACACCAAGAACCGCAACCAATGATCTAGAGAATCTCCTAAGGCAACCTTTCTACTCATTGAAGTTTCCACATGTCTACCAATTTAGTTCCAACATGAAACCGAAACACTAATAGAACAGTACATGCTACCTAGAAGAGAAGAATAAAATACAAGATACATTTCAATATACATAGCTTTAAACCCAAAGTATAACATCCTCAATTACCTGCTAGACAAGTGAACCAAATCAAACTATCAGAAAAGGAAACCTATGTACAATCTATGCTTATAGGCATCATCATCGTCATCCCAACCCAGTCTAACAACAACAAAGCTAGTCCATGAATTACATAATTATAGCTTCAATCACATCTCAATGGCATAATATCGTCTGAGCCAAAAACAAGGTGGAAAAAATCCAAAGCAAAAACTAGGGTTTTGCGCATATAAATCACCATCTAACCTCTGTGAACCTGTGAAATTGCTCCTGCGACGTGCCATGCTGGGGATCCATCCGCAGCACATGAATAATCTTCGCGAAGTAGTGCAAGTAAACGACGAGCGCGGTGCCGTGAGCCGCGGCGGCGACGGAACCGACGGCCATGAGGAACCAATCAAAGCTGTCGGCGCATGCAAAGAGCCGCGAGAAAGGAACCGCGGCAGGCGGCGGCTCGATCTCCTCCGGCTCCTCCATCTCCTCCTCAACCTCCACCTGCTGCGACGCGGAGGTTTCGGCGCCGGGGTCGAGGTACGGCGACGGAGACTCCGGCGGCTCGGAAACCTCGGACACGGGCGTGAGAGGTTGCACGTGCGGCGGGGACCACCCGAACAATCCCCTCGATATCATCATCTCTTCGCTCTCTCCGAAACGAAAACCCTCTCCGAATGAAAACTCTCAATTCAACAGATCCACTCAAAAACTGAAAATCCTTCTTCTTACATATAATTGTTCTTTTCCGTTTTCTCTCCCGGCGAACGACGTCGTCCTGGCCTTCGCCGGCACCGCCGTTGCCGTGTCTTTATAATCCTTCTCAGTTCGGAAACGGTGCGGGGAGAGGGGAAATGATAGAGCCACCTAACGCAGCACGCGAAATTGGTGAACCCTCTTCCGTTTTCTTCTTCTTCTTCGGGTTTGGGTTTTCTTCGATAGGTTTAACGGTCAAACGCCGGCGTCGATGCGCTTAAGTATTTTCTTATTTTATGATTTATTTTTATTATTATTATTTTGTTAATGATTATATTTATTTGTTTATTATGGCTTTATGCTTTTTAGGGACAGAGATACAGTGAGTGTGCGCTGTGACGACAATGGCATGCATGCAAAGCTGGAAAAACGAAGCAGGGGCGTTTCCGTAAACTCATCTCATTTTTCCCATGACACGTGTTGGATCCTCGTGCCTTCTGTGGGTGAGCGTGCAGATATCTATAATGCTCTAATTAATATAATATATTATTTTTCTTTTACTTTTTTGTCAATGTTAGAGTTAATGCTTTATGTACTTCAATTGTTTTTATTAATTTAATTTCTCAATCTTTAATCAAATAAATACATAATTTTTTAAAAAAATTAATTAACTGTTATCAAATATTTTTTAATCAATATTTAAGTTACGTAATGATACAATGTTTTAACATTTTATTTCCGTACAAAAGGTTATAGTAGTCGTTGTGTAGTTATCTTTTATACGTAAGTATACTTTGAAGGTTCTTATTACTCAACCTAATGGTTAATAAATAAATAAAATGTTAAAAATAAATTACTAATGTATTGTAAATAAATAAATAAATGCTTTTTTTATAATTGTATTTATCTTTTCTAATTTTTAACTATTATCTTTAGTGTATTAAATACTATATATATATTATTAAAAAGTTATTTTTAATATATATATAATTAATAATATACCTGTTATATATAATATTAATTTAAAAAGGGTTATTGTGACCAAGCACTCAATTATGTACGTGAAAACAAATTAAAATAATGGTATTTAGTTAAATTTAACATTTAAAGAAACAATTAACAATAACTTTTGATCATAGATGATGTTTTTATGGTGTAACATTAAATTAATTATTGTTGTCAAAACCTCTGTGGAGAAAGGGTTAAAAACAAATTTGAATTCTAACATTTGTAGTTTGGAAAAGTCAATATCATTTGACCATACCAGGTCCAATGTTATTTTTAAAAATTAAAATAAAATAAGTGCGCATCATTTGACGAAAAATGAATTTAAATATAAGATTTTAAAAATTATATACTGAAATATGAAATTAATAAATTATAGAAATTTTAAATTTCAAATTATTATTAACGTTATTTAATAAAATAAATCAATTTTAAAAATTAATACTGATATTAAAATGTTCATAATTTTTATAATTTTAAATCTCATATTTTGACATGTGTATATATTATTTCTAAATATCATATTTTAGCTATACAGAAAATTTCAGAACAATTAAATAATAAAATACAACAAGTCAACATTAATGAGTGTCAAATTCAAACTAACAATTTATTTCGTGCTTTTAAAGGTTAAATAAAATTATAAATTATAAAAACCCTCTAAAATTATAAAAATATAAATAATTAATTTAAATAAATAATATAAAGAGCTTAGATTTGACAAAAAAAAATGAGATTTAAAATATTTTTATAATATAAATAACTAATTTAAAATAAAAATAATATATAAAATTAAAAATTATTAATTTAAAAACGTATATTCACAATTCAAAAATTGTGAGATAAACTCTTTAAGTCATACAGTGATGATAAAATTGTGAGTTTTTTCATATTATTTTAAATGATTTGGAGAAAATTGTAATTAATTTTTTTTTCAAATTTTTATCTTTAAAAAGAATAATGTTTCTATCTCTTGAAATAAAATTAAGACAAGTATAAGATTTAATAAATTAAATTGTCTTAATTTAATTTAAAAGTGTCTATTTTCAAAAAAAATTCTTCTTTTCATAGTCATTTGACAAACACTTGCCAGTATTGAAGTAACTCATGTAACCCTTTTAAGAAATCTCCAAACAACCTTCTACAAAGGATACTTGCACTTAAAATTAACAGAGGTAGTAGGTAAAGAATTCTTAGAGGAGCAAAACTACAATTTGTAATGAACTCTTGTAGTTTTGAGAGAAGGACTGTGTTTGAATAAAAGGAATTGTAGTAAGAAAAGGTCATTTTTACCAAAAAGGTTATATTAGTCAAAAAATTAGAATTATATTCTAAAAAAATATTTTATAAAAATTAAATATATATTATGTAAATTTTTTAGAAATTAAATGCAAACAAATAATTTCTATTAATTACTAAACGATTTAAAAGTAAAATGTTATTTTAAAAAAAAGGTGACGAGGACAGTAAGGAGGGGGCCAAATTCTAATGGATAAGCCGAAGAGGTAACAAGGGTGTCCTCGACCACATAGAAAGAAGGAAACACAGAACACAACTCACTCACCATTCACATCACACCCAACAATGACTTCTCTGCAGAACTCTCCAACACTCTTTCACAACTCTTTCCCTCAGGTACACATTCTCTCTCTCATGCTTTAACTTTCTTATTTGATTCATTCTTCTGTTTCCAACATGGGTCAATTGCAGAAGCATGCTACTTCTCGTTCATCTAAAAGGGATGCCATTTCCTTCATTGTCAAAGCTTCCCATGAACCCTCAGCTTCTTCAACTGGGTTTCTTTCTCAAGGTTGGATATTTTTCTTTTGGGTCTCTTCAAGTTGAATTCACAGCCATCATTCTCTCATAAGAAGTATTATATTTGTATGCATGCATTTTCAGTGTGCTTGTGTTGTTTTGTGAGTACTGAGTAGAATTGTGCAAGTGAATGTAATCTATTTATTTATTTGGCATTTTAGGCTCTACTTTCTGCTCTTTGAATTTGCTCGTATCTATGTTATCAATGATTGTAGGCAAATTGACTCATGACAAAGATGCATTGTGCAAACTGCTGTGTGCATCTTCTTATCTAAAATGTCATGTAAACCGCATACGAGTCACTGAGGTCATTGACCTTATACATGATGAAATAATATTAGCAAAGCATGCTGGGGAATAAGAATATGAATAACAATTTGATTAGGGCATCATGGTGAGATCTAAACAGTTTCGAGTTTTGACTATCTATTCCTATGTCTGTTGTAAACAACTTAAACAATAGACAACAATCAAGACTTATCCTACTATGTGAGATCAACTACATAGATCACATGAGGCTATTGAGTTTGGCTAAAAACCAAATTCTCAGAAATATTATTTATTAATACATCTCTTTTAATAATTTCCTCTAATATTCTTTTAGATCTCCCTCTACCTTTTTTATCTGACATTGAATTGCTATCATTAACTGGGACTGTATCAGTTTTGTTTTTAATCTCTTGCAATATTTTGGCAGATAGACCAGGAAGGCGCCAAGTGATTGCCATTGGGACAACTGCCCCATTAGTTTTTCTGTTCAATCAAAACTCATACTCTTGTAAGATTGCATTTTAAGCAGTTAAAATTTCTAAATGTTACTCAGTTGTGCTTGATCAGGAAGGTACAAATGTTGTCTATGACACCTGTGACTTTCCTAAATACTGAATTACTGATGCCTGACATCCTGAGGACATACCCTTGATATGGCTCAGTTGCTGCAGAAAATAAGAAAGGATTTTTGCATGTTTTGGACAAGAAAGATGGATATTCATTTCTCTACCCTTTTGGGTGGCAGGTGAGCATTGTTATTATATACTTTCTGCACCAGTGTGACTTTTATATCTATAGCAAGTTGATTTATCGATATAAGGCTTATGTGGAAGTTAAGGTTAGTTCCTTTATCTCTTTATTATCACGGGGAGTGGGCAGGAAGTAGTGATTGAAGGTGAAGATAAGGTGTTCAAAGATGTCATTGAACCACTGGAGAGCGTCAGTGTAAATATGATACCAACTGGCAAACTGGATATTAAAGAATTTGGGCCCCCTGAGCAGGTTCGGTTTATATCAGTCTGAGCTGCATTGTTTTAAAAAGAGAAAGGAATTAATTTTCATCTTAATCTGTTTGCAGGTTGCTGAAACTCTAGTAAAAAAGGTTTTGGCCCCTCCAAACCAGAAAACAAAGATAATTGAGGCAAAAGAGGTTTGATGCCATACATGTCTTTTCCTATTCTTTTCTTTTTATCAATTAACCTCTGCATATTTAATGTACTGACATTAGTTCAACAGCCATATATGTATGTGTTCCTTGACTCTCGTAAGATCCTGTTATGCTAATCTTATCTTATTTTGAATCTCAAGCTTTACTCAGGATATAGTTACTTGAAGTAAAATATTATTGTTCCTTTCCCATGTTTGAAAATTTTGTTGTTGTTTATTCATCCTTTAATGTCCCTTTTACTTTCCTACGGAAACAAAGCAGTCTCTCTGTCTCATTGAATTGTTGTGCAAGTTTATGTAGTATTCATACAGAAATTATTGCCTAACAAATTAAAAAGAGACCATCAAATAATGGTAGGAAATAGGCTCACAAAGAAGAATATTCATTTTTCCTTTTTGGATAAAAGAACAGAAACTTTTTTAACTTTTTGAGGGTGTTTGGTAAGCACAGTTAGTTGTCAATCATATTCTGTCATTTGATCTTCCAGATTCCAGAGGGAGAACTACAAATTAGGAACTTGCCAAGATTTAGGAATAGTAACCAAAAGAGTGGTAAATCAATATCTATTTATGAAATGTTAAAGTAACTTCATTTTCAATGTCCTGATCTCTGGTACTTGTGTTTTGTGTGTGTGTGTGTGTGTGTATTTGTGTATAACTGCAAAAACACTGATCATGGCTTGCTCCATCTATGAAATGCTTCAGCAAGATATTGAGGGAAAAACATATTATCGATTTGAGTTCATTGCTCGGGCTCCAAACTATACTCGTCATGCTCTCAGCACAGTCTCCATTGGCAATGGTATGGTTTGATCCATTTGAATATTTTAAGTGCATCATAAAGTCTGTAAATTACATGTCAAATTATATCAATGGGCATATACGTGTATGGGAAGGGGTAATAAGCGCATCCTTAGTTCTTCAATTCGTGAAAATTTTTCCATAACTGTATCTTTTTCTTTTAAAAAAATTAATGTATTTTTTATTGTATCATGTTTAATTTTTGTACCTTAATAGACTACCCCAACCAATTAGATAAGTGAATTTCATTCTTATGAACGCATTTTTGGAATTCAGTTTGGAACTCATGCATGTTATTAATGTTACTTTAAATTTAATTATTAATTGTAGGTAAATTTTACACCTTGACAACGGGAGCAAACGAGAGAAGATGGGAAAAGATGAAAGAGAGGTTGCAGACGGTCGTAGAATCCTTCAAAATTTTCGATGTTTGATAATATTTATTATTACCATATTAGAGATATTTAACTCTTCATCAGCGAGAATGTTCATTTGAGCTTTTATAGTCACAAGTTCAACCTGTTGTTAGCTTTTCTCCAAATATATGTATAATAAATGTGTAATGCGTTGTACAAAAAAGAAGGGGGAACAGGTTCCTTATGCCCATAGCAAAATCTCACCAGAATATATATATATATATATATATATATATATATATATGCTAATATGTTTTCTTTTCAAGAACAGAAAGCTTGGGAACAAGACATGTCAATACGAGCAACTCACCTTCCGAGAAGTTTACAATATCATGTATATTTAGATTTGTTTATTTTAACAAAGAAAATAAAAGCTTGTCATTTGACCGAAAAGAACAGTCAAAAGAAATTAATTAAAAAAAATACTCTTCAACATAGGATTAAATTTCACTTTTGAATCCCTACGTACTCTCCATAACCTTTGAAAACAGGATTTACTAGAAGATGGCATGTGCCCTTCCCTTTACTTTTCTATTTACATGCTAATGACACCTTATTATAACTCGATTATGAAAAAAGAAAACAGCTAAAATAAATAAATAACCCATTTTTACACTCCAATTGAATATTTATTCAAGACATGCTATAATAGCACTACTGGAAAAAGATTGGAATTGTAAAAAACAGGTTAGAATAGTAAAAAGGGAAAATAGGTTGCAAAATTTTATTGATATAAAGACAACAAACGGCCTACTCCGCCAAACTTATCAAGTTTGAAAATATAAAATACGCAATAGTTCGCTATTCTACAACTTCTAGCTGCTTCAAACCGTTAATTACTATATATCAATAATAGAAATTCTTATAAAAACAAAATAATTAGATATAGTTTCTGTATATCAATACATTCATAAATATTCTATTACAAGTGCAGAAAAGTTTCAGATGAAACGAATAAAGATGAGTAAGGGGGCAGAGATAGAGATGTGGAGTCCAGATGTAGCTCAAATAATAACAAAGTCTATTATTGGGCAACGATGGAGACCTTTCAAAGAGATGTTGTCGGACAACATGGGAAACCCATATTCATCAAACTCACTCTTTGTATATTATGTACCAGACATGTAACAATCCCTTCCAAATTTCAAAACCCAGTAGGCACCTGTCTATGTCTGGTTTTAAAAGAAAAAAACAACAATAAATTGTTTTTCTTTCTTATTTATTTAGCTTAAACAAGAAAAAAAGCACCTATCATAATAGAAACTTACAATAATTAGATATTGTTTGTGCATGTAAATACATTCATAAATTTTAAAAGCTAACGCAGAGTTGTTTTAGTTGAAAAGAATGAAGGTAAAGGGGAGATATTGTGATGTGAAGTCCAGATGTAGCTCAAATAATAACTAAAGTATACTATTGGGCAACGATGGACACCTTTTAAAGAGATGTTATCGGACAACATGGGAAACCCATATTCATCAGACTCACTCTTCGTATATTATGTCCCAGACATGTAACAATCCCTACCAAATTTCCAAACACAGTAGGCACCTGACTATGTCTGGTTTTAAAAGTGAAACAACCATAAATTGTTTTTCTTATTTGTTCAGCTTAAAACAAGAAAAAAAACACCACAAGAAGCACCTATCATAATAGAAACTTCCAATAATTAGATATTGTTTGTGTATATCAATACATTCATAAATTCTAATAGCTAATGCAGAGAAGTTTTGGTTGAAAAGGAATAAAGGTAAAGGGGAGAGATTGTGATGTGAAGTCCAGATGTAGCTCAAATAATAACTAAAGTATACTATTGGGCAACGATGGACACCTTTTGAAGAGATGTTATCAGAAAACATGGGAAACCCATATTCATCAGACTCACTCTCCATGTACTCTGTCCCAGCCATGTAACGGTCCCTACCAAATTCAAAGACGGTAGACACCTGACTATGTCTGGTTTTTGTTCTAAGAAAATAATATCATCACATGTTTTCCTTTTTCATTATTTAGTTGTCTGCTATACTAATAAAGGATTTCATTTTATTAGTATCTTGTAGAGGGAAAAATCAAGTATCTCAATACCACAAATTAGCTAACTTAGGGATGTTCTTTACAATATTCACTTTTAGATTGATCTATATTATCCTGTGGTTTCATCTACTAGTGTAGGGATCAAGAAATGAGACAGCCAATTACATGAAAATGCAAATGAACTAAACCTTCAGTTATCAACTATATGGGTAAAACCATTAAAGAACCATGAACAAATCCTTCAGTTATTCACTACCAACCTGGATGACAACACATGCCAAATGAAGAAAACTCAATTCCTCTGGTGTTCAGGACAGAAATTGATACCTTGGAATACAAAAAAAGTGGAGAGAGATCAAACCTAGGAAACATTGGAGTCAGTGAGCTGAACTTTTTTCCTCCCACTACTTTGGCTCTTCAACCACGAAAAATGACACTTCCAAATAATGGTGGTATGACAACAATTCATGGAACAATGACGGAATCCTTTCCAGCTTTGCATTAATGATAATGAAGATAAAAAAAAGTGGGATCATTGTTTACCAATTCAAGTTTACGATGTTAAACTTACAGAATCTTGTTTTAAAAGGGCATGATGGGTGATATGTAATGCATGCATTGGTGACCCATGGGTCTTTCCTTACTCTAACCCGTACAATTAGCGGGCTTTGTATATTAGGACAAAAACACATATGAACACACACACTATGATACTTTGAGGGGGGTTCAAAGAAAGGGCTAGGATATTGGTTGGGGTAGCCAGTTCAATGGGCTTTGGTCCTCAAAAGCTCTAGGATTATATGAACCTAAGATAACTCAATCAGGAATGTTGTGATGGTTTGATACAGATAGGGCAAAGCTACACAATCCAGATCATTGGAATCAAGCAACTCCCTTGCAAAGAGCAGTTAAAAGTAAATTCATACACGAGACTTAAATTCATTATTAAAAATTCTGAAGTAAACAATCATTGGTTTCAATTCAAATTCTTATTCATCCAGTAAAATGAGAAGGACCCAATGGTAGCAAATCTTAAAATGCAAATTCCTTGATAGCACCATAAGAGGACTCTGCAACATGTGCACAACCCAACACATTAAACGAGTCAAATAACTAACTGATAACTAAATACACTGACTTAGACCATGAAGGGCATGGAAATAATCCAGGTACAAACTCCCTTTCTCGCAAGATATATAATTACAAATTAAAATGGTAATAATGATAAAGCAAACAAGCAATCAGTCACAAATTATTAGAGGTATAAAACTGGATTCATTAAAAATGTTCTCAAAATTGAATGCACAATAGTTAATACACATGGATAACACAGGATTCCTAACTCAGGACATGTAAAACAACTATTTTAGCAATGAAGGGTTGACTTTGTTCTAATCAAGAGTACAGCTTAGATGATACCAATCTTGTTGGCTACATCCAAGGCATCATAATCTGGAGTTAACCTAACATATGCTTTCTTTGTTCCATCAGGCCTGCAAAAAACGAAATAAGGAGGTTGGTAAAAGATTTAAATGATATATATCATTCTATGCCATACACATACAATAAAGACCCCAAGTTTAATATAATCACAATTCTATAACTTTTTTGTTTAGTTTTAGTTGATTCATTTCTATATCAGTATTGTAAATTTACTTCAAAGGATCCAAGTAAATAGTAACCACCATGAGCAAAGGAACTAGTTTCCTTTCTCTACACTCAGTAACTTTCAACAATTCAAATTTAAATACAGCATACAGAATACATTATCAAATCAATTACCTGATTAAGGTATTCACTTTTTTGGCCTGAATGTCGTACATTTTCTTCACGGAATCTTTAATCTTCTTTTTGTCAGCACGGATGTCAACAATAAAAACCAGTGTGTTGTTATCCTCAATTTTCTTCATTGCAGACTCAGTAGTTAGGGGATATTTAAGAATCTGATAGTGGTCCAACTTGTTTCTTGGGGGGGCACTAATGCGGGGATACTTAGGGCTCCTTTCCTTCTTCAATGTCTTTGGCCTGTGAAATGTAACTGATGTCCTGATCTTTTTAGCTTTCTTCTTAAACACTTGTCCACCTGATTTCACAGCCTTGGCTGTCTTCAAGGCTTGAGCTTTGGGATCAGCCTTTTTAGTATTGTCCACTGCATAAGAAAAAAAAAGTAAATAGATCATTAGCACGTATCCAATACTGCCTTGCCATCTAAGCAGATAACCACAAGCTATGCATTAAACTAACAGACAACTTGGAAGCAGAACATCAAACCAGCAAAAATGGTGAAAACAGATAAAAGACCATATCATACATTGGCTAACAAGAGCAGCAATGATTTATGACTGAGCAGTTAAAAAAGTAATGCAATATTATACACAGTACTATTTACAGTGAATTTTATAGCAAGGAACATAGATATACATATGCAATCATGTCCAATATTACAGGATTCAACGTTAACATTAATTTTGTCAATGTCTCAGAAAACACACCAAATACATTGGTCTACATGAAAAGGCAGATATTCTTCGCTCATGTAAAAATTAAAGAAAATGGTAGAGTGGCACATCCATTTTCTAAAAATTAGGCACATATGTATTCAGTTCTTAAGCAGACACTGAAGTTCAAGAGCCCTACAGCCAGAACAGGGCATGCAAACAGAACCAAAAGAAACAGCAGTATATTTACCATATGCACAACATGAGACAAGTGATCGACATTATCAAACAGGTAAAGTTGTAACACAAAAGAGACAAACACTCGCCTCCAACATTTCAGCAACGAAATCACAAATGTCAAAACATTATTTACACGGGCAGCAAGATAAATTGATATCGATAGTCTTGAATAAATGGCCACTGAAAAAATAACGCAATACTCACCCTTTGCAGGAGCCATTGTAAGCTTTCACCTACACTTCTCAGAATCTCCTGTATGAACATATAACACGAAATTGAATTAACCATAGCAGTTAAAAAAAAGAAGCAAAGAGCAAGTTTCAAAAATCAGATTCAACCCAATGGAAAAAAAAATGCCCAGATACACGCGAATCTGAATCAATCAAAAAATGAATGAAACCTTAAAAATCGAAGAACAGGTGCAGCGGCCAAACTAGGGTTTTGGGTTGAACTGTTGAAGAAGGAAGTGGGTACAAGTGACTTATATAGAACACGAAATTACATTAGTAACCTTATCCAGCCCAATCTCTGAAGCCCATGGTACTATGCCTATTAGGTCATCACATAGCCCAAAGAACTTACACACAAAAACGTTTTCAAAATATGTTAAAGATCGATGGGTCGGACCGAGACAAAAATAAATTATCACAACTTGGCCCGGCTCCTTTGTTTAAAATTATAGTAATAATTGTTGAAAAAAATTATAATAATAATTTTTTAAAAATAAGTATTTTTAATTAAATATTAAATAATATATCATATATTAGATTAATATTTTAAAATAAAAAAATGAATCATAAAATTGAGAAAACTTAATTTAATTGATTATCTTACTAGAGATGGAAAATTAAGTAAAAATCAAAATACAATCATTTTTCTAAATAAAAATAGTTTGATTAATTATTTTTTGTTTATTTACGATTTACAAATATTATACAATGTTTAATTTTGATGGGAAAAAAATCAGCATGGGTTAAAGAAATTAATAAAAGTAAAATCTATTTGAAAGGAATGAGCCTCATAATAAATTAAAGTTTAAAAGTATAAGGATGTGCAAACATTAATTTTAAAAAATCTTTGAACTAAAATATGAAAGGTCAAAAGATTAAGTTGTATCTAATACGACCTATCAAGATCAAAAAGATTAATAATGAATTACTATCTTTCACAAGAAATTTGAAACTCAGCTAGCATAAAGTGCTGAATAGTAAAAAATGACATGAGTATTACAAACAAATAAATAAATGTTGTTGCAATATATTATTTCTATAGAAGAAAGAGTTTGAGATAAGAAAAAAACAGAGAATTATAATGAATTGTTGCTTGACATTATTCATTTAATCGAAGCCTTTAAATAGGCAAGTACAAATGACTAATTGCTAAAAATTAGGAATCCACTACTAACTGAAAAACGAAATTATAGGAACAATAATAAAACTACTATTTGCTAAAGATATGGTCTTTCTAACTAACTGCTTGTACTCGATGACATGAGCTTCCTCAATGGAACAAACTACAAAATTGAATTTTGGAGTCATGGAGCAGAGTATCTTCTCAACCACAGCAATATCACCTGTTTTGTCACCATGGATATGCATCTTGTTGACAATGGCCATTATACGTGAAAAATAATCAGTTACCAACTCACCTGATTTCATTTGTAATGTTTCAAACTCCAAACAAAGGGCTTGAAGTTGTCTCTTTGCCCTTGCAGAACCTTGGTATTTTTTCTCCATGGAATCCCAAATATGCTTGAACGTGTCTTTACAAAGGATGGTTTCCAAGATTGAACGATCAATTGCTTGGAAAAGATAATTTTTTACCTTTAAGTCTTTCAAGCATAGCCCTTTTATTTTCCTTTTTCGAGCCTCTGTTATTGCAGTGTCATTTGCTAATTCCTCAATTCCCTCAGAAACAACTTGCCATTACTCTTTGGATCTCAAGAAGTTCTTCATCAACATACTCCAATTATCGTAGTGTCCATCAAAGTAGGGAATGGATGGTTGAACGAAGTTGTCGGTGACCATTATTTTGTTTGCAGTGGCTCTGATACCACTGTTACAAATAAATAAATAAATGTTGTTGCAATATATTACTTCTACAGAGAAAAGAGTTTGAGATAAGAAAATAGCAGAGAATTGTAATAAATTGCTGCTTGATATTTTTCACTTAATCGAAGCCTTTAAATAGGTAAGTACAAACGACTAATCGCTAGAAATTAAGAATCCACTACCGACTGAAAAACGAAATTATAAGAACAATAATAAAACTACTATTTGTTAAAGATATAGTCTTTCTAACCAACTGCTTGTACTTAAACTCAATATACACGTACGTACAGCCTTAACAATGGGAACCATACAAATGAAAAAATTATTGAGTTAGTACTATTTATCATTTCACTTTTCTTCTTCTATTTAACTTATGACTTGTATTCTTCGGACACTAGTGAATACAATATTAGATAACAATTTATGCATATCTAATGTTAAATGAAGTGTCTATTTTTTTGTCTTGTGTGTACCTAACAATTATCCCAAGTAGTCATAGTTGAAGGGCTAGATTGAAAATAACAGGTACACCAATATAAGATCTTGAAAACTTCTGTTCATATATCGTTTTTGAAATATTTAATGTGTATGATTGGGAAACAGTTAATTCCGCATTCTCCCCGATTTTACAATGTGCAAAAACATTTCACAAAACGATTATTTTCTTGCTTTTTCCTACGAGGGATGTTACAAGATGGGTTGAAGAATTCAATCATTAAAATACACCCAAAAATTTTACTTTGTTCACATATTTTATGCATATCTTTTAAGAGAACATCAAACTTAATATAAACATTAAGAGGCGAATTGTTTTACTTTGTTTAAATTGTAAAATGTAACCAAACCTTAAACTATGATTCAAGCATACTTAAGAACCAATCATAATAATCCCAGCTTGAAACTGCATTGCCTTTAGATTCCAAAAACTCCTCTCCAAATTTTTTTGTTTCGTATCCTTAACCATTCATTGAATTTAATTTGCTAATCAACCGTGTTTGATTATTGAAATTGATACGCGAAACACAAAAAACAATATGATTGCGGGTCAAATTTCACATTATAGATCATAATCAGCTCAAAAAAACCGGCGATTACTGGTGAACAACAAACAAGTATTATTTGGAAATCTACAATGTGCAGCTAATACTATGAACACTTTTATTTAGGACTTCTATATAATCGAGCTATTGTTTCAAATTAGAAATTCTCAATCAGTGATTAGTTTGTTCATATATAAGGGAAATAAGCTACACCCTAACATTTTTTGCATGTGTCTGGAGACAGAGAGAGAGAGAGAGCTAAAAAGAAATCGGTTTTATACTTTTTAAATAACATGAGAATATGAAAGAAATTTCAGTATTTGAACATAAATTTCTAGGTAGAGAGGATGTTAAAGCACTGTACAATCAGCCGAGCTATAATTGACTTGGCATGGGGCAACCTCCTGCAAACAAGTAACATACAACAAAACTCAGTTTTAGGTGGCATGAGCATAGAAGAATAGTTGAAGGTATAGCACATGTATAGCCCACGTTCCAAGTTACCCTATTTGAATTTCTATTCATGCATGTTTTTAAACGAGTCCAAAATGGTTAGTTCTGATAGTTACTTTTATTAAGGGTTATCTGCAAGTGCAAAATCTTGTTGGTAATACTTTTTTGTCATGGTTTTCATGGTGCAGAGAGACATAAAAATCACAGAATGATTGCAACACTCTTCAAAGAGAAGATGTCAAGACTAGAGAAAAACATAGAAAAGAATATGAGCACATACACATGTTAAAAACATTTAATACAAACTATAGGTATATAAAGATAAATTATTACCATCATAACTTAGTCAAGATTAACCAGTATAAATATAAACTAATGCTCTGAGCATGTAATTGTAACTACTAGGATGCCATTCATTACCTCACTGGATTTCTTCTTTGCAGGGAGATCAAATTAGAGCCGGGAAAATTGCCATAGATAGAGACAACTGCAGATGCACCAAAGGTTATGGAAGTTACTTGAACTCAGGATTCTATCTTCTGTGCTACAATGAACTCAGCAAAGCAAGGAACTCTGGAGGTTCTTCATTCTCTTTAACAATCTATTCACAAAAGGGAAAATCAGCAGAAGAATCCAAAATATTGGGACAATCCATAGAGAATATTGCTTAATTCAATCTTGTGAGAGAATAGAAAAATGAATGGAAGATATAACATAAACCAACATATGCTAACAAGGAAAGGTCGAAGTGATTTTTCTGACTGTAAATTTGGCATTATATAGTCAACATAAAAAAAATTATGGTACAAAGTTCAAACTCAATTCTTTCAGTAGGACAAGTTGAGGGACGCTATGACAACACAATGCTATTGCACACCAAGAGGAGCTTAGAATTAAAAGGGAAAAAAATGAAAAATCAAGGAAAACAGGCAAATGAAGACACACTTTTTGGAAAATCAGACTTCCCCAAGAAATGGAAGAGGATTTATAGTATCTGCAGATCCTAACAAGAGTGCTGCCCTTCATTCTTACATTTTCCGCAACTTTACTTTTGTGAAAAGAGATGAAATATTACTTTTCAAACAATTTATGTGTTCCCCCACCCAACCCCCAATGGTAGGATTAAGGATCTAATCCTAAAATGCTTTGTATACAACAAGGGTATTTCCATCAAGTTGCTAACAAAATATTTAACATTTCACTCATAGACGGCACACATTTCTTTTATTTATAGTAAGAATGTTTCCATCCAAGTAATAATAATAATAATGATGATGATGATGATAGTAGAGAGAATGACAGAGCAAACACAACCAGACATCATATGATTAATATTTATTTCAGTGGTATGAGATAACTGTGTTTTAATTTAGAAAAAAAAAGAAGAAGGCAAAAGCAGGAAATAATTCCATATTTGTATTGTACATTTAAACAAACTGTCAGGGTAATACATGGAAACCACAGAGGAGTCAATTAACATATTATATTAGACAGACATGCCAAAATTATAGCATGGAGATGAAAGCACAATACGACAAAAGAAAGAAAACGTCATACCTTGATGACTGTATTCTTCAACAAACTAAACCGAGCAAGGAGATCACAACCAATTCGATTCCAGTCAACAGCTCCTAGAAAATCTGACTGTCTATCACTATCAAAGGGAGCCTTTGAGGTGTCACAATTGAAAGACCTCCCTACCCAAAAATATAAAATGTTTCCTGCATGTACAGGCATACTTGGAGATAATATGACAAAAGCAGCTTTAGAATCCAAATGACTTGCACCAAATGTCTCAAGCTTTTCTAAACTGGGCCAGAGATATACCGAAGCTTGTGTCACACTATACTGCAATGAGCCACTCTCATTAGTTCCCTTTGATGATGTAGAATTTAAGTCTTCTCTTGGGAAACTATCTATCGAAGGCTCAACACAGTTCCTGACAAGTGACGATTCCTTGCAGTGCACACTATCAACAATGGTTGGACATAATGCCAGCTTACACTGTTGAATTGAATTCACACCTCCATCCTTGGCTCGGTTGTTAGACTCACATAAATAATCTATATTATCTGATTGTTGCAAATAGCTAACATCGCCATTAACAACACCATGTTGTCGACTAGCATGAAGAGCCAAAGGTTTATCTATTACTTGTGTCTTATCATTCATTACCGGCAGCTTTAAAGATTTTGACAGACTCCCTCTGCGTTCAGCAAGGGAAGTTGATGGTTTTTTCAATGATAAAGAGGCTGACAGAGAATGAGGATCTGATAACTTGAAACGATGGATATCTATAGTGTTAGACACTGTTGGAGAACTAGAATTTGATGACAGAGATAAATTAGAAAAATTAGACAAAGGTGAAGATACAGAAGTCAAAACTGCAGCTGAAGAATCCAAGGACAATTCTGACAAAAACTTTGAATGAGTGCTAGAATCAGAAGAAATTGAATCTGGAGAGACATAAGATGGTGAAGAAGATGATGATAAAGATGATGATGATGACGACAGCGATGGAGATGGTGATGACTTTGCTGATGTATGAATACACAACATGGAATCTGAAAAGACCCTGGGAAAGGATAACTTAGGGGCTGAGACAAACTCCTTCATACTAGGAGACGAATTTTTACGCCTTAAAACACTCCAACTACTCTCTCTTGCAGGAAGATGGGTTTCATGTTCATCCTCTGATGACGCAAATGGAGGCACAAAACCTCCAATGATTGCTTTTTTGAAAACTTCAAAATCAACATCATATGCATCCACTTTCCTCTCACCAGGCACAATTTTAAAACTTGATTTGCTATTTTCTACTCTATTGCCGGATTTGTCCATCAAAGGCAAAAAATTTGAGAAAGCGTCCCAAAAATAAGGCGGTTCCTCGCCTTCCCTAATCACTACTATAGGTCCTTGTACTTTTTCATAACGAACAATCTGGCCCACAGCCCCTCTGGCATCCCTTTCCATGATGGTCTCACAACTCTTACCAATCCAAACATATATAGCAGAAGGAATGTGTATAATAAATGCACCCCTGGAATCCAGAGCAGACGAGGAAGGGTCCGTCAACATTTTGGGAACAAGATGCAAAGGATCATACGGTGAGTGAGGAGCAATTCTGTACATCCTCAGCAAAGAGCTAGGGCTTAGAGGGAACGCATGAACCCTTTTCTGGCACTGTAACAACTGGCAAGCAAAACCCATATTCGGATCCGCAATCCCTCTCGCCGCCTTCACAAACTGAAAAGCATCATCAAAACTCTGACCTTCCCTCCACATAAGGTAAGCAATCACTAAAGAGGTAGACCTAGACACCCCTTGACAACAGTGTACAAACACCCTCCCACTTTTTTCCCTGACATCCTCAAAGTAATCAAACACATCATACAAAATACTAGTAATATCCTCAGAGGGACTATCCTGCAGCCACAATGTCCTATACACAAAATCAGCCTTAAAGTACTCAGGACACACAAAACCCACACAATTCAAGACATGAGTGATACCATTCTGTTTCAAAATATCCCTGTCCCTAGCAACAGCATCACCACCAAGATACACATGATCAGCAACCTTTGAACATTCCTTATCAAAAAAAGCAATTTTATCCCTCTTCACAAGCCCACCATTATTGTTCTTATGATCAGGGTTCTGCTGAATTGAAGACAAATCAAGTTTCAACCTTTCACCATTACTACCATTACCTCTCCCACCGGGGGTGGTGGGTGGCTGCGGCCACTCACCTATGTCGTCCGAGCTCGCCTTCGGCCACTCGTCCAAGCTCCGGCGAGCGATGGAAAGGGGCTGCAGCGGCGGCAAACACGACCGAGCCTTGCAATTTTGCTGCGATCGAGGGGTCAATGGTGGCGGAGGAAACCGCCGATTCTGCCCGTTCGCAGCGTCGGCGCCGGAATCGGGATCAGCAAAACCCTTTGCAGCCTCGCCGGAAGGGTTGTTTCCGGCGGCGGCGGAGCGGGAAGAGGACCACGACGCCGACCGCCAGAACATTTTCCGGGAAGCGGAGATTGGGCACGCTTCGTCGTTGCCCACCATGCCCAGTTGGTCAAGAATCACTTTTTCAACGGAAAAAATTAAATTTTGCTGCAAAACCCACGAAAATTGGAAGAGCCCTAGCCACCTAGGTTTTCTGGGCTACGCCAAAACGGTGCTCATTGAAATCAATTTGCGAAATCGAAGCCCCAGAGGGTGAAGCATTTGATAAGGGAGAAAACACCCACCGAGAAGAAAGAGAGAGAATTGAGCAACGGAAAGCGCGTCTGAATCTTGAAGTGAACACTGAGAAGATGGGTCCCTATAAATGGAGAAAAAGATTAAATTTTTATGCAGAAAGGGTTCTGGGATTTGAAAGGGGGAATAGGGATTTGAGAGGGGAAATTGAGATTTAGAAAGAAATATAAAGGAACTGAGTTGTTGTTGAGAACAAGGAAGAGAAGTGGTTTATAGGAGGGAAGAGAACAGAGAAGGGTAAGTAAATAGTATTTTGTATTGAGTGGGAGACTCCTTCCATATTTATCACCTTTCTGCCTTTCTTTGTGTTTTGGGGTTTTTTTCATTATTTAATTTCACTATCAGAAAAGGAAGCATTGATCATGATTATTGTTTCACAATGCAAACCCCAATTTACTTATCAAAACCTAAAAACAAGTATATATTGAAGAAATTAAACACATACCTTGCCTACAAGGATAAGTACTGGCCATTTAAGGCAATAATATATATTTATTCATTGTTTTAGCATTTTCATTTCCTTTTTAATTTTTAAATAAATGCTCAAACTTGACTTTGAAAATTTTAGTAAAAAATGCATTGATTCTTAAGATTATAGAAAAAAAAAACATATCTTTATCATTAAAAATTATGAAGTGTAGGTTACTTTTATTGTTTTTAAAAAAATTATATATTTTAATTTTAATCATTCATGGTGAGATTTAATAATTAAATTTTTTTATTTTAATATTTATATCTAATTGCATGTGTGGAACCCAAGTTTCCCTTGAAGACTTCTAATGCAATCCAACAGCATAGGAAACTTTCGTTCGCTTCTAAAAGATTCAATAAGAAATTTGTTTCATTATTAAATTTTTCCCAATGCTCCACTTGTGTTTACTTTTAAAATTTATAAGAAGAAACATTTTGCAAATACTTTAACTCAATTTATATATAAAATAAATAAATACATGGACAAATTTTTCAAAATGTGTTCAATTGAACTACAAACAACATGATAATAACAATACTAATATGAACCTGAATTGCTAATGCACGATAACCAAATAGAAAATGTTCCTTCTTCTTACTCAACTTTTATTGGCATTGAATGTTATTTGAATAAGTTTTGTTATATTATTTTATTTTTTATTATTTTATAAAGTATATATTAAATAAAAATATAAGTATTTATTATCTTAAAAATATAAAATACTTTTTCATTTTATAATTTGAAGTATTTTTAAGCACAAAAAATAGAAAGATTTAAAATCATTATATATGAAACAAATGTAACCTCACCAAAATCTCAAAAACATTAGACAAAGAAGTTCATCTATTCTCTTATATATATTATCTTAATAATTCTCTTATTAATTTATAAAATAAATATTAAATAAAAATATGTATGTATTATTATTTTAAATATAGAAAAATTAATCATTTATATATTTAATAATTAATAAGATAGAAGAATTGAAGACTGTTTTTAAGAAAATGTTAGTCAACACACTAAGAACATTATTAAGAAAATGAAAAAAAATATTTTATTAAAATAACATAAAAATACATATATTTCCATGATTTTCAATATATCTTTACATAAATTCTAATAACAATTTGTTATTTATTAATAAATTTTGTTAACTTCAATCCTTATTATTGAGTTTAAGTATCTAAAAATATTATTTTTATTAAAATACATATTTATTATATTAAAAATATAAAATTTTAATAAATATAGATTTTTTAACAAATTTTAACACGATCTTAAAAGTTAAGGTTAATATTTCTTTTAAATTATTGAGCAGCAAAATTCTTATTCATAAAGAAAAACTTATTTACCCAATGCAAACAAAAGCTAGTCAAACAAAAGAGTACTTTTCTTTTTAATAAATGTATTTAGAAAGTAATAATCAATCAAGCCAAGAGTTATGACCACTAATTTTACTTGAACCTACTTACTAGTGATCAACATCTTAAAAAAATAGGCTAGAAATCGTTGAGATTTTTCATTAATTGATTTTATGCCTAACCTGCAAAAAAAAAAAAAAAAAAAAAAAAACTCCTTCATTTTTTATGTGTTCTATGCACATTTGTAAAATTTTTTATTCATTTTTTGTTTTTTTTTATATTGTCTTTTGTATTTTTTGTGGTAATCTCTTTTTATTTTGAAAAAAATATTAGTTACAGTTAAAATTATCCCATATAGCACTGCATTATCTTTCATTAAATATATTTGTTTGAGATTTTCTTTATCATGTCCTATGATCTAAGTCAAAAATGAAAGCTTCAAAGCACTCTAAACACAAATCCTATACATATTGAATGAAAGACAACTTTTCTTCCTTTCTTTGTCATTTTGTTTGCAACAGGTGACTTCTCAAATAAAAGAATGTTTATTTCACTCTTATGCGTGACTGTTATTACTTTTATTTTTTTAAATTATGCAAAATGTCCTTATTGATAATATAGTTATAATAGAACAAAAGGGGTATTTTAAACTAAAAATTACTTAAATAATAATGATATTAGAAACTTAAGAATAACAATAAATATACCTCTAAAATAACCATGTTACAATATACAATAAAATTTAAGTATAGTAATATAAATATTTTTGTATTAATATTAGAGTTTTAATTTCATAGACAATAATGTGTGTCAAACTTTAATATAATTTTTTATTGCATAAAAAGGTGAAATATCAACTTTAATTGGAGAATAACATTAACTATAATTCTACATTTAAATTTTGCACTAGTAAACAAATAATATTTTATAAAAAAAATGTCTATTCATCACTGGCTTAATGTATCCAAATATATTATTAGTATATGCAAAAGTTTCTTTTCTTTTATTTAATGCGTGTGTGTACATATTTAATTGGAGAAACACACAATTCAAAGCTCAATTTTATGAAAAGTAGGAAATCGTTACTTATAATATTTTTTTATCAGATGTTCATTAATTTGGTGACATACACACACACACTTTACAAACCTAGTTATTATATATGCGTACACACACCCAATATGCAAATAATTTGCAATATTGTTTATACATTTGAGTCTAATATTATTGAGACTGTCATGTACTCTTGTACCTCTCTTTCTCAAAGGAAGTTCATAAACTATGAGAGAAAATTGAGTTGATACAGAAAATCAAATATTTGTCAAATGTATAAATAACTAAGAGAGTTATGCAACATTGTTCAAACAAGTCTTCGTTCACATATATAAAACAAAGGACAATTAAGTCGTTTACACTAACTCTTTACTTAAGGCATTGAAATGATGCATGATGACAATGATGTTATTGACAAAATCAAAATTAATATATCAAGAGCTACTATATGCATTTCTTCATGTCATGGAAAATATTTAAATATGATGCACATAGTAAACAACCAGTGATCGAGAGGCTGTGTTTTCATATACCAAATGAATTATGTGTCCTGTTCCATGACAATGATCTTGTTTACTTTCTAGTTAATTGACAGATAGGCATATATAGGATTTCAAACAAAAAAGTTGAATATTTAGGTACAAGCCAATAAAGAGTTAATATAATAAAATAATGTGAACTAATGCATAGTTTTCCCATAAAATTTTTATATGAAAAATAAACCTATAAACGGCAACCTAGATAGGAGGATGTGTCGTTTCTTAGACGAAAAAATCCATAATATTTTTCATCATAGTTGAATGCCTGCATGTTACTGTAAAGAGATTCATATTTCATATAATGAAGTTTTAACAAATAATAATAATAATAATAACATTTAACGATGCACTCCTACCTTGATTTCTAATAAGAAAAAAAAGCTTATTTATTAAATTTGTAATCAATACCATTAGAACACTTATTAGCAAGAGTTAAATAATTTTTATGGTTTAGATAACAGTTATCTTATATAAAATGAAAGTTATCCTCCTAGTCATATGACCAATTGCTCAAATCAAATAAAATAAAAATTGGAAGAGTTAAAAAATATTAGTCGTAAAATATTAGTATTTTTCTCATTTATCATTAATTAAAACTTTATTCTTCAGCTTAGAAAATAGAAAAAAAAAACTCAAACTTTTATCATGCGCACTGGCCATGTTGGCAAGACTTATATGCATGGAAAAGTACAGTTTCAGCTTTGCATTCATCACAAGATGTTGTGATTTTGTAGCCATTGGAAAACGTACGTCATAGAGTTTGACAACAGTGTTGGTATGATACAAAGCTAAGAAGCAGTCACATAAACAAAAGACACTTCTAAGTCACATTCACATAAACTTTGATAGAATTGTGAAATTGATCTTTGGATATTATTTAATATTAGTGACCCAATTGAGACTAAGTTACACTTTCACATATGGCTTCAAAAGTCTTCCATTACCAAACATTCAATAAGACAAACAGTGTACATGGAAAATGATAGAGACTGAACCTCAATGGGATTATTTCGACCAATAATACAACTTTTGTACCATTTGTCAAGAGTAGCACAATTCTCAGCCATTAAGGTATTATCCCAAAGCAACTCTTACTCTCTGATTTTTCTTGGTTTTACGTCAAAGGGGATTGAATGGCCCACTTATATGTGACTATAGTCAGCAAGTGTAAACAAGAAACCAAAGTACACGTCTAGAAATCAAGAATTTTCAACTTCTAAGATTTTGACGCAATCACTTAACAAAAAAAAATAAAAATTGTGAGGAATTTGACATTTTGAAAAATTACTCTTAGAATAAAACTAATCTTTTCTGAGCTAGCAGATATGCATGATTAGGTGTAAAAAAACAATTTTACACTATAGATAAAAATATAAAACTTAGTTGTAATATACTGTGAGTACTGTTATTGTTTTGTAGTGTTTGAAATAGAATTTCACTTTAATAATATGTGTTGATCTTTAATGATGGTGTGCTCACATTTATTATGCAAATTATTAAGATAAAACTTTAATTATAATTGAATAATAACACCAATAATACTAAAATAAATTTTAATTCTAATTAAAAAATGATACTGTACACACACTTTTCTGTAGTAAATTCATGTATTGCATATATAATTTTTTTCATATAACTTTATGCACAATACATTGTAATAATTGGACTATTCCTTATTACTATTTACTTTTCTTATTTTTAAACAGTGTTTTCATTAATATTCCTTATTATATTATGAAATGGCTCGTCTCGTCGTCAAATCATCATTACTATTTGTTTGTACTATGATATTTGTCAATCGTAATAATACACGTCCCTTTTTATTACTCATCTTCTCTTCTACTGTGCCATATTTTATTATTTTAATTACACTTCTATTTGTAGTCTCTTGCATGATTTGGGTTTAGTTCTTGGGATGACCCCTAATTCTTAGTTTCGTTAACTCACCAATCGAATTTAATCATCAAGTGTGCAGCACAATACACCAGTAAGTTAACGACTTCAAAGAAAATATTGATGTAGGTTTGACTTTTAGACCACTTTGTCATCACACTCTATCATTGCAGAAATTCTTAATTGATAAAGTTCACGAAATGACTAAAGAGGTAGGATGATGTGTCAATCTACTAATTAAGACATCTGTTTCTATTCAATGTTTAATATAACCAGCACTATCATGCTTGCCTCAATATCGAACACCAAAAATAAGATAAAGGGTACATCTGCTTAATAATTAGGTTAATTAATAGTTAATTTTTTAATCAAGAGAAAGAGGGAATAATTATCAGTTTTTTTCTTAGTTTTTTCCAAGAAAACAAAGGATACATGTGAATTGAATAAATGTTTTTTACCCAAAGATTTATGTTATAAATTTAACTTTGAAACTTTGAATAAATTGAAAGTAACCTATATAAAAATATTATTATTAAAAAAATCTCACAAGGAGAGAACTATTAGGTGAAGAGTATAACAGGAACATAAAAAAGGAGGAACTTTATTATATGATTATAATGTTTCTCCTGAATAACCAGTTCCAAGACAATTGGCAATACCACTAATTGCTAAAACTGAACTTGTTAAAGTGATGCTCTATCCTAACATTAGGAACATGTCAGATAAAGAGTATTGCTATGCTAATATAAAACTGAGCCAATGACTATACGTGCATGTAATTCTTGTTGACCAGACATGATTAGGCCACATATATAAAAGGATACAGGCCTTTAATCACATAATAATGCAACACTATAAAAACACACCCAACATTTCTCCAAAAAGCTCGTACACACACACATAAGGATGCTGCCTAAAGTAGACAATCAATAAGGCCATTATCACAATTAGGTGTGGTAGTTATTACCACTTTTTATGCCTCCACAGAATTAATTGTTATATATTGGGATCAGATTATGGTCAAGCAATCAAATAATGGTCATTCCCCATTTTTATAATCAGTGAGAAAAAAATTTTAATTCTTAAACATTACTTAAATTATTAGGCTCTTGAATAATTCTGTTACATTCCTTAAATCTTTGTGATCAATTGAGAATGGCAAGAATGGAACCAACCCATCTATAAACTTTATGCTATTAAATATAAGCTGATGAATAACTTTATTGCATTTATATCAGTTTTGAATTTAACATTTAAATCTACAAGCTAGAGTTCTACAAAATGGTTGAGATTCAAAATTACCTACATGAAAGGGGTATAAATCTTAACACGTGCTTTCTGTGGGAGTCAGAAGTGCATTTATTTGTTGGTTGCCTTCAAGCTTAGGCAATTTGGTGGAACACTCCTTTAACGTTGATCCACTACTCAGATTTACTGCATGTCCTCCTTCGTTCACGAGTGGCGGATGGTGGTTAATTAATATGTTGCAACTTACAACAAGAAACTTCCTTAACTAAGTTGTCCTTGAGAAAAATCTTGCAATGTTGTACATTCATTGCCGTTTCATCAAACCATTTTTTTAACCTGCGTCTAATGACACACAATAAGAAATCAATAAATAATAAGACTTTATTTAAAATTGTATCATCTAACGTTATTAATACATTAATTTAATAATGTTATATAATTTTTAGTATAATTTACTTTATAAGTTCTTATTAAGTTCCCTTAAGCACACTTAAAAAAAATTACTCATCAAAAGTATTGAAACCACCTGCATTTTGTAATGAGAAAATAGAACAACGAAAAGAATCACCTTACCAGAGTTTTGTCAATCATTTATTATGTTGTCCTGATCTTAGGTGGTAATACTTGGATTAAAACGTTGTTTTGCTTTGTTATTGCTGGTTTATCATGATTTACTGGTCTTAAAATTGAGAGAAAAAAATATTATGAACTAGATTTTATGACAGGAAAATGATAAATAATTCTGAAGTTGCTTCATGAATGTGGAACGAATTTGAGGTGTCACGGTTTTGGGTCTAGTTATAGATTCGTCAGTTTTTGTACCAAAACCTTTTTTTAAATTATCCATTTACAAAACCTGTTTTAAGTATTAAGTATCTAATTTGGATAGTTAAAATGGAATACACAAAATAGAAAACAAAGAAAGTTGATAGTTTGTTAAAATGTTTAATAAGTTCACAAAAATGATTACTTGCTAAAATTTTTATTAATCAAGTTAACTGTTTCCAATTATAAAAAACCAAATTTTATATGGCTTCTGTGGAAATATTTTGCAGAAAAATATTACCTCTCCAATTCCAGAAAGTTACAAAAAAATAAAAATAAAAATCATGTATATCGTGGCTAAAAAGATTACTTACGTAGTAGCCAAAATTTACATCACTCAGCAGCATTGACAAATTGATATTTAAACACTATAAACTATAAAGACGAATACTAGTTACATAATTATATTGTAAAGTTAACTATTTGAACCTTTAAAACTATGGTTGATTAGCACTCTAAAAGTTCTGATTCTCCCTCCCTTATAAGTCACTAGAAGTGGATTATCAATAATAAAAAAATTATATAGTTTGAATAGTCATGTGCTACTTTTGCCAAGAATTCTTCTAACTCGCACTCAGTTTCACTCGAGACTCTTCTGAACAAGACTAAAGAATAAAATTTCCAGCTTCAACAGCAAAAAAAATCAGCATTCTTCTCCAAATGTGCTGGACAAGATCATGCATCAAGCATTGACGAGTCTTATATAATGTGCTTTTAGAAAAACATTAAGAAAAAGTAAATTGAACATGATTTATTTAACTCAACAATATATTACATTACAATATGGTTGTTGCAAGTTCATTGAAGAGCTTTAACATACAACCACCATAGCTGCAAGGAGTTGAGCATCAAAAAACAATTGTAGCTCATCAGCCAGGAATAGTACTTAAACATCATTTACTTTCACCACAAGCTACATGTGGACAGATGAAGAGTGATAAGGATTATTGCTCATAACATGAGCCTGGACCAATAGGAGCCGTTCTAGCAAAAAAAATTTTTACAGGAGCAGCTGGAACCCCTCGTTTATTCAATAGACATCTGAAGTATTGCAACCGGGGCAAGGCGGTTAAGGTAATATTTTGCGTTGAGGTAGAATCTCTCTGACTCCATAAGCGTTCTGTGGGAAAAACAAAGTAATCAAAGACCATTATAAGCCATTCATATGGCTTGTATATTTTACCTTGTACATAGATCATAGATGTCCTTAATTTATACATAGACGACTAAGAGAGACCTGTTTTTCTTCTTATAGAAGGGACACTAATTTCTACTACCTATTTCTCCAATGAAATCAGTTATGATATCAGGAAATGACTCAAAACTCTGCAAGAATAACTGTGTTCTCAGATTCACTCCCACGTGCCAGTTGATCCATGACGAAAAGTGGGTAGGTTGCTCATTTTATAGCCATCAAATATTTCAAAGTAAAGGTATTCAATTGCCTGATCCATTTTACCACTAGCAGGTAAAAAGACATATATAGCAAAGGTAAGAATTAAGGTGTATGCTCTAGCAATAACACTAAAAATACACAAGAATGTAACAACTTAGCACCAGCAAGGCATGCTTACCTGCAGCTGCAGCGGCTCGAGGCCATATTGTTTGCTGAACATTGGATGCGTCAGCTGTCTCAGCCCACATGCAAACTTCTCCTCCAATGACAAGCTCTTGTTCAGAAGGTTTATATATTCCTTCTAGTGGCTCAGCAGTATAGACCTCATCCCAAGGTACATCCAGATGGTCAAGATACCAGACACCCTGGTTACTGAAAATGCATCTGAAACCTTTTGCAACAGCCTTCGGACAAACCCCAGGTCCCAACCTACAGTATTTAATTGAAATATTTTATTCTGAAACTCAGATGATTGAGTTTCATCCTGCAATAAAACTACTTGTTCAGATGGAAACTCACCAGTTATGCACTACGGTTTTCTGATGGAGCTTTTCTGGAAATGTATTGAAGGTTTCTTCCCTGAGAAAAAAATAAGTCTTCTAAAACAGAACAATTACTTATTGATTTGCACATAAAATATTGTTTCGTGCATGTGCAAATTATTGGTGGCATTTGAGTTTTATTAATGATTTCAACAGAAAGAAAGGAATAGGATGGAAAAATGATTCACAGGAGAAATAGCCATCAAGGACAAATTAAGGCTATGAATCAGTTTTTTTTGTGTTATAATATGTTGATCATACCAGTTTACTGGACTCCAATTTTTTGAAACGGCTATCTCTTGGGTCTTCAGTACAAAATATTGATATGCATCTTTAGCAGTCATGTTTTGATTCTGAAGCCTGCATTTGAGTAAATGGTCAAAATACAGAACAAATATTACATCTAAAAATCATGCAATTTTACATTGACAATCAATCAAATTCATGATGGTTAACTTTTCTGGAGATTGACAAAACCATTTCAATGTCCAATACAAATAATGGAGTAACAAAAAGAGGAAAAAAATAGCTGAATTCCTATAAGTGATCCTGTTAAAGATATAATATAAAACCATTCATGTTTCTTCATCTAAGCTGTAGGGATTGGTGACTCATGACATGGCATTAGAGGTTCTATGACCAAGTGGTTTAGAGGTCAATCCTTACTGCCCCCATCCTTAATTCTTTTAATAAGTTGAAGTTCAACACAAGGTAAGTGAGCTTATGCATTTGAACAAGGGCTCCTGTGTGAAAGGGTCACGTTGAAGATATAATCATCTTAACTTAAAAGCTTAAGCTTTTGGGAATTGGATTACTGGTTCATGACACCTTCAAAGTAAATGTCCCAAAATTTCAGCTAATTGCAAAGGATGGCAATATAGTGACAAATCCCTCCTAAATTACTTTTTTCCCTCCATATAACAACAAAATCATAGCCAGTAATTCAGCTGACATTCATATTGTTGTCTGTTAGAAGCTTAGCATGGTAAAGAAGAATACAAGCTTTGAAATGAAATTATTTCTGCAAGCCAAACCATTTGCCGAGTCCTTTATGCATATTAAATTTTAGGTGTTTCCAAAAATTGTACATAAATGAGTAACTGCTTTAGCAAAAAAACTTTCCATAAAATGTAATAAATGAGTATAACAAGTTTAATACCATTCCTTTACATGAGAAGTATTGCTCCAGCAAGCTGTCAAATTAAAACATAATTTCTCATCAATAAACATTGATACAAATAACTTCAACATTGCAATAATCATTTAGCGGCTACTTTTGTTATACTTCCTATACTGTAAATGCTATGAAGTCACACATATGGTCACTGTTATGAAACCACTTCTGAATAGACAAAATAGCCACATTAAGGAACTTGTCACCTTTCAAACTTTAACAATAAATAAACTAAAAGAAACTAAGCACAGACTAATGTGAATCCCAATCCCCTTCAAGGTTTCTAAATATTGGAAAGAAAATAAGTATAAGAAAAACAATTCTGTGGAAATGTCTGTACGACAGGTTTTTAAGATAAAAAAAACTATCCATTCAAAGAGAAGTATCTGCTCCTACAACCCTCATAATATCTTCCAAACTTAGATTACTTCATCCATGTGATAACTTCAGTTAAGCCAATTTTGCATAGAAGCATCAACCTACAGTATCAGCTTTTAACTTATCATTGAAGAAGATAACAATGCAGGACCATTAGTGCATAGATTTCAAACAAGGAAGAAAGTTAGTGGAGATGTATCCAACAGCAGTAATGATCTATCCATTGCTCTCTATTTTCGTATTGCATTTATCACATCAGAAATTAACTTTAAGTTGTACTAAAGATAAAAACCATTTTTAGTCCTCATTTAAAAGCATTTAGCTTTTAGGTCAAGTGGGTCTTTGCCAAGTTGCAAGAAGAAAAACATTCATACTGACATGTATTAACTTCATCACCACCCAAGTGAAATAGCTCAAACGGGAAGATTTTTCTCATATCTGCAAAATTTATAAAGAGAGAACAAAAGATAATTAATTTATGAGAGAGATGAGCATGACAGTAGATGAACTAAACACATTTCATTGTATGTACCAGGGGAGGATATAGGAAGATGTTGGGGTGCTGGTTTTAGCACTCTTCATAATATTAATAACATAGTAAGACATATTAACAAAAAATTTATTTGGCAGAAGAAACAAAAGAACAAAGATGTGTTTGAGAGAATGGATGCATGTTTTATTAATGCTGAAACAACAATCAAAGAAAATGAAAAAGCATACGGTAACTGGCATGTTTCCCTCATATTGTGTTCCACTTCCACAAGACTGGATTAAAAATTATGAAATGAAAGTGATGTCAGTTAAAAAGAAAAAGAAAAAGAAAACTATAATTGTAATTTTACGAGAATTTCCAATGAAATTTTAATTATAGCTGTGGTATGATACTATAGTGTCAAAAATTTAATTAAAAAGGAAACTAATTGAACTGCTTCATCATGAGGAAAGGGGTATTTTCAGATTGGTATTGAGTACTTTCCTAGAGATACAGTAGATGTATGCAACCATAACCATGACCAGAAAAGTTAAAAATTTGAAATCTGATTACTTGATTTTCTTTGGTGTTTCAGTATGGTTATTCTTATTTTATATATTTTATAAATAATGCAAATAATGGATTATTCTTATTGCATTGTCATATATCATAAAGCCAGACAAACTACTTTTAAGTCATGATTGGTAACTTGGTATCATAAATTCCTTATTTCAACCCTCAAAACTGTCAATTGAAGAAATAACAATTTTAACATCTTTCTTCAATCTCAAGTTAAATAATGATACCTGGCAGTAGTTTCAAATAGTGTATGTATCCATGTGCAAATTCAGGAAGGTGACAAACAATGTATTAGCACCACCACCATGTTAAAATAGAAAAAAGATAAGTAACATGCAGCCAATATTAAATGGTGTCTATACTGGACTCTAAGCATGTTACATAAGACAATTTTCAATTAGTTTTCAATAAATCTTCCAAACACATTTATTAGCATGAATTCAAGAAGCTATTAATGATATTCAATAGAGGAAAAAGTTGTTAGATGTAAAGGACAAATCTTGAAAGAACAGAACAAATGTGGGGATTAAGGTTTTATGGGAACTCTACCTGTCAGAATATCAGAAATGACATCAAAAGTAAATGTCTTCGAAACATCTAGTGGCTCCCTACAGGAAGGTGACGGCCAAAGATCAGGATATCCAGCACCCCTACATGGATGAAATAAACAATCTTAAAATACTTGTTATGAACGCTACTTGTCAGTGGAAATATTAAATTGCTGGAGCACCCAATTAAGTCCAAATTAATAAAACTAATCAATTGCTACATCAATAAAAAAAAAATATAATTAAATGTAGTGCTTGACATCAAGATAATAATCAGACCAAGCAAGTATGAAAGGGAAAAAGTAATCAACTCCTCCTTGCTATAATAAACAAAATTGTGAACTCAATGTCAATCCTAGCAAGTAGCAATCATAGGAGGAATAAGTTTAGCACATACTACATTCAACAACAAACTTCTTTTAAAGGAAGAATTCAATGGGATTACAAGTTGCAAGCTAGAGAGTATAACATAAACCTTTCTATGGCAACTCTTTCTTAAAAGAAATATTTATAACAAATTGTGAAACTTAAAATAAATTTATTGGGTCTCCATGTGTCACAATAATGAAGTCAATTATTATCATACTATCAGGCCATACTTAATTAAAAAAAATGACCAAGACATGTGCTTTACCATGATTCTGCATGACCAGGGACATCCACCTCTGCCATCACATTTATGCCTGCGATAATCCATGTAAATACTCAATAAACATATGACCATTGCTATGTTAACAGCCACAAGAAATAGCCTTATAAAAACAGCAGATTCATTTGTATTTTTAAAAATGTATTTTGCATGATAGAAAGAAGATGAAAGAGAAAAAAGGAATAGGGAAACTTAAAATCCAAAACCATGATCAACTGCAAAATGCTGAGGGTAGTATGTAGCAGAAACTTTGAAAGGAATTTGAAGGTATCTCACCTCTCATTTTGGCAAAGCTTTATATCAACATAAATTGAAACATGAAAAGAAAAAACATATTCGTCAATGATAGATTAGGAAATCCAACTCAAAGATAGAAACTATAAACTAACAATTCAATAAAAGGAAAAAGGTCATCCATGGATCAATTGACCAGGACATTATGATATTATTGTGGGATTATAATCATATATTCCCCCATTCCCATTGATAACCTCTCCTGTCCCGTCTCTGCAGCTTCAAATGAAATTTTGCATTCAAATATTTCCAGTTCAAAATTGCTTTTCAAAGAAAAATTAGTAACTTGGATAAGCCAATTCTTACTAGACAATTTCATATGCATCCTCCACTGTGTAACGTTCCCACTTTGTATATGAACCTTTCCACAAGTTTGGATGTGTAGGTATCTCAAGAGGAAATGACTCTTCATCTATGATGTGCCAATGCAGAACATTCTGGAGTATAAATATTTATATTCAGGCATTACATGAAACAAAATAGCGTCAAAGAAAAACAAAAGAAACATATAACATTTATCTTACAAGTTTAGCATAGGACATAGATTCAATAATCTGCTTAATTACATAGATTGGTAAATAGTGCCTCGATGTATCTGCAAAAATAGACAAATAAAAAATCATGTATCAATATCCTCTGATCATAGCATAAAACCACCAACAGAATAAAAATTATTCTCATTGAAAACTTTGTGCCTCACCCAACATAAGCCCGCGATATGCAAATCTAGGTTTATCTCGGATGGACCAAGGTGCCTTGTATATTTTAACTGTTTTAGTTGTATAATCAAACAAACACAACTGGCTGAATGTCTGGTGCATCATGGAAAGACAACAATAGTTCAGTTCCCATTTTTCAAGGTAAAAAAAGAGATAAACTAAAACTTTGAGTAACTTATGATATGTATGGCAATACATATACAAATTATAATTTATACTTCCACAATATCAAGATCAACAAGGTAAATGATAAGAAGGAAATAAATTATAGTAAATTGCTGAAATCTTATTCCATATACAAGGACACAACGGACTATGGATATACCAAACCTATTGAGAAAAACAAGCTCAATCTATGACAAAATGGAGAATGAAGATACATGTTAGAAATTATCTTAAATAGTATAGGTTACAACTCATCCTGAGATATCTAGTATCTATCTACAAGTCCAGTAATCAGATAAGAAATAAAGCCCTTTAGCATCTCGAGTTTAAGCACTAAACAGAAAGAACTAAATGTTCTCTGTTCATCAACTTCACCTCCTCACCATCTCTGCCCACCACCACTCCTCCAGTTCAAGACGCCAAACAAAGTAAGAAAAAGGAAGGAAAAAAGTTAGAGCTGATTGATTTGCGAATTCTATACATACCTCTAATCCACGCAATGCACCATAAACAGTGTTTGCCTGCAATAAATAAAATCACAAAATAGGATGACTAACAAGTAACACCCGTCTAGAAGGACAAAAGAAAAAAAATCACATAATTTTATTTGTTTGAGTTCAGAAGTAATAAGCCAAGCACAAATCTATCTTATTCTTTATTTTAAAATAAAAACTGATTTTTAATCTTTTTTTGGAACAAGTGCTTGAGTAAATTATTAACCCAATACGTGACACTGACATATAAGATATGTGTTACACTGGTATCCTAGAAAGATAAGGAAAGTGCTTGAACCAGTTGTTCCTAGTACGAAAGCAGGAAGATTCCTAAAACAAATGAAAAGCAACTTCAATTCATCTTTTTATGCGCATAGAAAATATGGTATATACTTTATACGCTCTACGAAAGCGAGAGTCATTTAACAATTACAGATAAACAGTGCCTACAGGTACTCATCAATTCCAATGATGATTGAGATTCAATAGGTAGTATAAGTAACAAGCAACTTCAATTCCAATTCCAAGACACAAATCAAAGCACAAAAAACAATTATAACAGGTGTATCGATTATTATCACTCTTAAATATCTATTGTTAATTATTTAAGCATTCTTTTGTGTGAAATTTTGTTTCTCTTGTAATAATGTTAATAATAAGAACATTTTACTTTCAAAAAATCTTGAATGGAAGTGCCAATAGATATATTAGTGATAATAAAAACTCTCTATAATTAGTAATGCACCTCAATTGTGACTTCACCAGCAACAGAAGAATCCTTGGCTTTGGGAACCAGCAAGGTATAGCTTTCATCTACACCAAGTTGAAGCTGAAAGAAAAATGATCACCCTCAATTCTCAAACCCAGAACGAACCCTCAAAAACCCAGAATGGAAATGGAAAAATGAACAAAATTGAAGGCACTCACCTCCTCATTAACTGAATGGACAGTGATCTTCAATGTGGTAACATCAAGGTCAGAAACAGACACTAATTTTTCCCTTAACTTTCTGATGAAACCGAACCCAACACCGCTATGTTTGAATATGATTCCTCTGTATCGATCAAATGCAGCTCTGAGAATGGAAGAGTCACCAATATTGCCGGCGATGGAGAGAGTGAGTGAAGGGTCAACGGAAAGAGCCTCATCGCCTGAAGTGAACTCTGCAGGTAGTGGCCAAAGGTATGTGAGAGATTCACTGTGTTCTAAGATGGGTTTGACTTTGAGTGCTTCAGAAGCAGAGAGAGCAAAGGAAATGAAGAAGAAAACAATAATTGGCGAAGAAACCCATCTGGGCATGCACAGAAACATCGTCACTGTGTGTCTACAGGAGAGAGAGAGAATGGGTAGGTGAGTTAGAAGCGTTGAACTGAGGCAAGAAAGGTGGCGATTGAAATTGATGAGTGGAATGAAATCGATTACGAGGAATCTGAGGAAGCAACCACGTTGCGTGTTACAACCTTGGCCTACACACATCTGTCTTCACCATATTGTATTCCCTCCTTAAGTAAGAATGTCTTGACAAAAATGAAGTGCCTTTAAACATCATTTTTCCAATTTAGAGTCATTTTGTTGTGTAAACAATTCTTTATTTATTCTTTTAGGTTTGGATACTTTTAACTTTTAAGTCTTATGGATTTTTTGCTATTTCTCTCCATTGCTTTGAAACAAATGGTCAAATATTTTATTGTTTTTATATATTAATGTTAAATAAATTTTAAAGTAATATGAAAAAAATCATAAAAATCATATTAAATTCTTTTCTTTTTTTCTCTTTTTTTTTTTCAACAATCATCATCTTTCAAATACTTTCTGCATGTGTTTAATATCAAGAAATACAATACTTGTAATCATAATCAATAAAAACTTGAAAAAATAAAATAAAACAAGAGTAAAAATATTTTAATATTATATTAAGTTTAAAAAATTATATTTTTTTATGTACTGTGCCTGTGTACAAATTATTATGTGCACTGATCCATTCCAACAACTAGTGTGACAATAGTGAGGCTTTTGCACTTGATTTTGTAGTAGTAAGAGGAGGCATGTTGGACCACTCTCTAACCCAATTATATCCACTCCGATTGATGTTTGATAATCCAATTACTTTATTTCCTTTTGGTGCAAGCGCAATCCATATAACTCAGTTGGTGTTAATATAGCATTTCAAAGAATAGTGTTTAGTTATATAATTAAAAGAGAGTTATAGTTTTTTTATAGTAAATCAAATATAACTCAATTATTTATATTCTATCTTTAATTTTCATTATTAATGATATAATAATTTTATTTAATATGAATGCAATTCCCAAGATATTTTACTAATAATTAAATAAATTTATCTATGAACTAAATGGGTAAACACTAAACACTGATATACTATTTGTTATCATTTTTACATGTTTCTGTCACATGTCACACTATCCATACCAATCATAAAGCAAAGTTGGGGGCAAAAGAAGGCACGTAATTACAAAAGATAATTAAGTAATTGCTGTAATATTTTATTTACATATTTATACATTATTTGGTTTTATCTTTATGTTTTGTATAAAAATTTTAAGATAATTAAGGCATCAATGCATTAAAAAATTATTCTAATCTAACATTATTCATATAAAAATTGTTTTTGTGGACAAAAGTTATAATATAAATGTCCTCCCATATTCTCTCTCCTTTTCTGGAAAAAAAAAACATAAAATTTTTATTTACATGTTAACATGTAAACTAATGATACTATTGTTTAAATTATAAATAATAAGTTTAATATATAACATATGAAGGAATTGCATACAAAAATTAATATATAATAGATATAAAAATATCTAAAATATTAAACTGTCATAAATAATAACATGATTTAAATTATAAATCATGTTTTAAATAGTGCAATAAAAAATCCCTTCGTATAACTTGAAGATCAAGATCCATTATACCATTCAATTCCCATCATATTTATTATATGTTGCAGAGAATGAATTAGGAACATTTTTTTTATAAAATTATTATTTTTTGTATTTTTTAATTTTTAATAAATTTTAATCAATCATAATAAATGTGTTATAAAGTATGGTGCTATAATTTATCATTAAAAAAAAAAACATGTATGAAAGCAAACACGTAAATAATCTAGTCCAACCATGTTTGTGCTCATTAGTTCCAATCTTTCTTCTTACTTAATTCAAATTATTCTCAGCAAAAGCTATTTATTACTTAAAAAAAAAGTTAAATTAAACATGAAACATTTTATTTCAAAATAAAAAAAAAGGGGTGATAAAGAAAATGGTGTTATATTTTTTAATTAAGTTGATAATATTTGAATAGGTTTGAAATTTGGATTATCCAATTCCGATGTTGCCAAAAGCATTAATCGCGGGATGGGCATGTCATGCATATCATCTCAGCAATTCCACTGTGAGTCAAAGTGGACCCCAGAATCCCACTCACCACTTGACCCTCTCCATTATTATACATCACATATCATTTATCACATAATATTAACAATATATATAGACAAATTTTAAATTTAGTACTTTAACTATTTTTAAATTATTTTTTATCTTTGTATTTTTTTATATTTATATTTATATTTTATTTTTTAACTCCTTTTAATTAACGCAACCTAATAAAACTAAAATAAAAATATATAAAAAATGACTCGTTAAAAATTATATAATTTTCAAAATAAATTTTATTTTGTTTTGTCACATCACTTATTTTAATTTGTTTCTGTTCTTATGTGTACAAATTTATTATCCTCAGAAAAAAGAACGACGTGTGAAATAACCATTGGTAGAAGCTAAACATCAACGGAGCAAAACTCTCTCCGGTTCATGGACGCGACCACACTTTAGCGTTCCCCACAAACTCAATGGGGTCCCACAGGTGCAGATTCATGTGGCTCCAGTATAGCAGCCACATCAAAACAAGCTTTCGGTGATAGAATCTCAGCCGTCCACGTGTAAAAGCTGCAAAATACGAAACCCACGCGCAATTTATCTAATCTCTCACACCCACAAATAGAACAAGAACACGTACACTCACGTGCTTACACGCGCTCTCAGATCTCACTGACTTGATTTTTACATTGAATCCCCACTTTTCTGGTTCGAAAATCTGCTACGGCTGTTGTTATAACAAGCACCAACCACAACGACTTTTCTGGTCTTTACTTTCCTTCTTTGTTATTGCAAATACGACGCCGTTTGACCATCTTCTCCGGTGACCGGAAAATGGTGGAGCCGGTGGAGCTTCCTAGCGACGAGCATCGCTCGTTACTTTCAGATTCCAACAATGGTGACCGGTCGTGGCGGTTGAACTTCGACGGGTTTCAGTTATCTTCGGAACACACAGAGAAGCAAGTGAAACCCTCTCGTGGTCTCCATGATTGCTATGGGGTTCTTGGTAACGCTACAATCGCATATTCGATTGTTCATTTAATTTATTTCCAATGTTACTATTAAATTAATTTTTGGAATCTGCTTTTTTTTTTAGTTGACAAATGTTTTTTGTTTTTTGGAATCTGCAATTCGCTTTACGTTAGTGGTTGTGGTTGATTGTGAGTTATGCTATGTTAGATTTTTTATTTTTTATTTTTTTGTGTTTCTTTATATGTGTTCGCTTGTGATAAGTCCAATTGGTGCTTTTGTTTTCTTAAAGATGTTGTTGTTGTTGAACTTCATTCAATGTGAGTGTGCCATGTTTTGTTCCTTTTTGTGCTAGGTTTGGAAATATGTGTTGGAACTTGGAAGTGTTATAGGTATGGATTGGGTCTTTTTGAAGATTTGGGTATTTTGAGTCGATGATATATGGTAGTTTTGTTGTACTTGTTATATATAGCAGTTGAATTGAGGTGGGTTTTTGATGTATTTGGGTATTTCTTGCTTTTTGGGGCAGTTGGAAGAGGGACTTTTGGTTGTCCTTTTACATGGTGTAGAAACTAGAGGCAAAACTTTTAGAGAGTGAAATAGAATTTTTTTTTGTTTTTTTGTGATTTTTTTCCGCATTTTTTGGGTTATAACGATTGACAACTAAATTGAAAGGGGATTTTTTGGATCATGTATTAATTTTCTTTTTCTTTTGTGTTATATATTTCTTCAGGTCAAGAAGATAATATTGCTGAGTACTATCAGCAGCAGGTTGAAGTGCTTGAGGGCTTTAATGAAATGGATGCATTAGCAGAGCGTGGTTTTATTCCTGGAATGTCAAAGGTTTCTATTTCTTTTTGTCCTTCATGTTTTCTTGAATTAAGATTGATGTGTGGTTAAATGCCTTGGTTGAATATTCACTGTTGTGGGCAGGAGGAGCGAGACAAGTTAGCAAGAAATGAGACGTTTGCCATCCGATTGTCGAACGTAGCAAACATGGTTCTTTTTGCTGCCAAAGTTTATGCATCAATCAGAAGTGGTTCCCTAGCCATCATTGCATCCACTTTAGACTCGCTTCTTGACCTCCTTTCTGGATTCATCCTCTGGTTCACTGCATTTTCCATGCAAACACCAAACCCATATCAGTACCCTATTGGAAAGAAAAGGATGCAACCGTTGGTCAGTCCTCCTAATTCATACTCTGTTTTAAATTATCATAATCATCTTCCTTTTCATGCCCATGATATGATCTCAGTGACTCTTAGGAGTTACTTTGTAATCAAATTAAATATCAAGAAAGAAAACTACTTACTTAGCATATAGTTTGGTTATGTATACATTTGTTCTACAGATAAAGTATAAACTATAAAGTAAAAACTCATTATTAAATGGTGAATGGTCTAATGAGTAATCATGACTGTATCTTGCTGCTGAAAATTTAGATTCAAATTTCCGTACAGGGAATTCTTGTTTTTGCCTCTGTCATGGCTACACTGGGGCTGCAAATAATCTTAGAGTCTATCCGCACGTTAATATACACTGTAAGTTGTTTTTTGCTATATTTCTAGAGGCACAGTTGACACCCAACCGATAAAACAATAATTATTTATTTATTTGCTGGATCTCTTTAATTTCTGGCTAGTTCTCATGTATCTTGTAATGACATTCCAGGAAAATGCATTCAACTTGACCAGGGAACAAGAGCGCTGGGTCGTGGGTATTATGCTTTCTGTGACTGTGGTGAAATTCCTGCTGATGATTTATTGCCGCTCTTTTACTAATGAGATTATTAAAGCCTATGCCCAGGATCACTTTTTTGATGTGATCACTAATATCATTGGTCTTATTGCTGCACTTCTGGCAAATTATGTTGATGATTGGATGGATCCTGTTGGTGCTATCATTGTAAGTGAATACTTATGTTAAAAGGTTTTGACTTGCTATTTATAGCACCAGGAAAGGATTCATATGTTTGTTTATCAAATTTTACGTTAATTAACGATGATAAGCCTGATTCATTCCTAGGTAAAAAACCACAGTATTCAAACAGCATTTCCACTAAACTAATCCATCAACAACCGTAGCCATCTGTGTCTCAGCCTCTGCTATATGCTCCTGTATTTTAAAAACTGAGATCTCAGATTCTTAGACCAAATCTCTCGGTACAGAAGAGCAATGTAATATTACTGTTGTAACTATCCATTTAGCTCATCATAATATCTGCAATGTCTCTAGAACAAATGGTGGTTCTTATGAGCACAAACCTCGGCTGGTCATCATAATATGTACTTGCTTTACTTATGTGTAATTCTTCTACTGCAGCTGGCTTTATACACCATTCGCACTTGGTCAATGACGGTGTTGGAAAATGTGAATTCCTTGGTGGGAAGATCAGCAGCACCAGAGTATCTTCAGAAGCTTACATACCTATGCTGGAACCACCACAAGGCTGTAAGGCACATTGATACCGTCCGGGCATATACATTTGGGTCTCACTACTTCGTTGAGGTTGATATTGTCCTGCCAGCAGATATGCCCTTGCAAGAGGCTCATGATATTGGAGAATCATTGCAAGAGAAGCTTGAGCTTTTACCCGAGATTGAGCGTGCATTTGTTCATCTTGATTATGAGTACAGTCACAAACCTGAGCATGCTCAAGCACACTCTTAGTAGCCATAAGGAAAAGCAATGCCTTGTTTATTTCATTTGCCCTTTCATGTCCAATCAGTTGTAAATCTGAACCATTTCTGGCAGTTCAGAATATGCAATCGAGTTTGAATGCAAGTCATTGAGAAGTTGCTAACTCTCAATCCCAACTTGCTGGCAGCTTTGGTAATATTCCCAAATGTAAACTGCGATAGGCTGATCAGGCAAAGACCCTCCAGGTTCCATCTAGGAGAAATAGAATCTTGCTACTCTCTTTCAACGTTTTCTTGTACAGTACACCCTTTCTACCTTAATTAAGGATTTAAGGTGATGTTTGCTGGACTTGTTATTAATGCTGACTTGCAGTAAGCTCTTTTTAGCTTATTTTCAGAAATTTTGTGGTCAAAATGTTGATATAAGTTGAATTAGGTTGTATTTTTAAACGCACTTAATTATGGTAATACAAAAGTTTAAAGTATTTTTTTTATGTATTTGAATTATTAAACACATTTAGAAATTAATTATTTTATAAAGTCGGAGAGATGTCATGAACTTGTGTACTAAGAGCAAATGTGCACAAGAATGGCAACAAGGAGGGGGGGGGGGGGAACCATGTGCAAAACGTGGGAAGTTTGCAGTTTATATTTTTATTATAATCAAAATATTTAATTATTTAAATAATATTTATTATTTTTATTCTATTAAAATTTAATTAATTAATTTGTTTAAGTAAGAGTTGAGTATTTTATATACAAAGATTGTATGAACTTTTGTAACATAAAAGAAATTGTAATTTACTTGATAGGTGCAATATATAGCTTATGGTATTTAATTAATTTAATGATGTACCATTAAAATTTTAATTGGTTGCTTAAAATCTAACTAGTTATGAGCTCCCTCAGTCAACGAAAGGACCAAGTGCATCAGAAGTCAGAATAAGGACTTCTCGACTTTAATATAAAGGGAGTGTGTCGGATGACGTTCACAATTTAAATTATAGTATTAATGAGTTCAGTTATGTGCTTTCTAATTCTATTCTATAAAAATAAATGATTAAGACTTCTATTAAAAGAGTTTTCGTGGACCATTACCTAAACTTGAAAATCTAAAATTAATTCAACTTTTGAGATAAAACTAAAAAAATATATATATAATAAAACACACAAAATGAAAGGAGGGATATCATCAAAATGCTGGTGAACAACACCCATTTACTTTCCATATTCTTTATACCACTAAACTGTTGAACTTTACGCAGTAAAGACATCAATTAAAATATGAATAAATCCATAATCCATATTTATTTTGTTCTTGGTAGTAACTCAAAACAAAGGACATACTCAAATGGATTAGACTAATAAAGTATTTAAAGGTAGTGTGGGAAATATTAAATTATCTAATCTTATGCATATGCCAACTGAGTTGCATTGCCCGTGTCTATGTACCCACACACTTAAATTATTGATTGAATGGTTGTGACAGACTCCACGATACACACGCTTTATTTTATTTTATTAATTTTTTAGACTCCACCACTCTCCCATATTTATTTATAAAACTGTTTTTAAGCACTTCAAATATTAATTACTCTATCTTAACTATCTTTTAATTAATCTTTTATATGTGTTATTATTGCAAGTATATTAATTTTAAACTTTAATATAATTAGTAGCAATTTTAGTCAATATCTAACAATTCTCTAAAAACTTTAAGTCAAGGTTTACCACTATGTGGATCCGGAATTTCTCAAGGGTGACTAACTAGATAAGATGGATGCAAATTTCAATCCTACTATCCAGATATATAAAAATATATTATTTAATAAAAAATAATATTATATTAATATATATTACTTTTATAAAATAAATTAAATATTTTTAAATAATTTTGATCTCACTCATTAAAAATGTTACTGAAGAGTATTGCACCATTCACATATGATACTTGTTATCCTAGATGAAGAAAATACATATAAATTGACTAGTTTTAAACTATTGCACAGATAAAATAATGATAATTTAAGACTTTCTCTAGTATTACTATCTTCTTTTTCTTTTGAACTTTTATTGATCTTACAAATTGGTTACTCTAGTAAAGAACTATTGGACTCTACCCATGCTTATTAATATTATAATATATTTTTTCAAGCTTTAATTTTTGGTTTATCTATTTATGTAAATAATTTAATTCCTGTAAAATATTAACATTTTTAGTAAGCTCCCACTTTATGTTTCCATATCCATAAAATTAATTTCACTTTGAAGACTGGTGAGTTAACTTTTGAGAGTTAGACATAGTTTTCAAATATTTCTATCATTAAACATGTAAATAAATTGGTATGATATTATTTCAACTTATATATGGTCTTAAATTTGATTTTGGATAAAACTTTGAAGGTTGATATCCTTTGGGCATCTTTGTTAAGGATATTGGAAATGGGCCTCCATATTGGGCTCGAACGGTTTTCATTATCATGTTGACAAGATGGTGAGGCTGGACCAAAAAAAAGGTGATGGCGAGGCAGTGTGGGACTAATAAGCATTTGTTCTCTCCTTCAATATGAGAATCCTTTATTCACCAAAAACTAAAAAAGATGAGAATCCTTTGTTAGATTATAAATTTAAATTATGCCATCTAAGTATATTTGGAGAAGATGATAGAGTGTGCTTCATTATTTTGTTAAGAGTATAGCTTAATGGACTTTTGAGCCAATGCATATAAAAAATGATAAAATATGTGTGTGAATACAATTAAATTTTATTTTAATCTTTTAATGATTTTAAGTCTAAATGTGTTTTTAAGTCTAAAAAATTGTGTAAACTCAGTTTACAGACATAAACAAACAAGCATGTATTCATGAGTTCATATTTCTTCATCACATGAGGTTAAAATGTTGAAAACTCTTCAAATGAAGTAATTTGTTAGACTTATTGGGTTAATAGCTTTGACCAATTTTTGATGAAGAAGCATTCATTCAACATTCAACAAGTGTTTGTTGTAAATTGAGTTGCTTCTTTATTAGTGCCATTGATAGAGTGTGAAATTGGACTAACTACAATTTTTAAGTCTTTTATTGTTCAAAGACTATTTTCCTTTAATTTATCTTTCACTTAAAACAATAGAATGTGTGTTTAATTTCAATCGAATATTAGTTGGTATCCTTTATGCTTTAAAAGCAAAGGACAAAAATTGATTCTCCATGAAAAATGTGAAGGAAAAAAAATGTAATTGTATGATATAATAAGAATAGTTAAAAGAAAAAAGACTATAAGAAAAATAATACAACTAATAAGATTAAAGCAGTGTTTCTCTGTAAAATATATGTAAATATTATTATAAGTCTTCATTAAGGTTTGTAACATACTCTAACTTTAGAATGAGCATCCCTTTTATTTTTAAATTTAATTTCTAACATTTTTAAAGTTAAATATTAATTAACATTTAAAAATCATTTGACAGATTTAGAAGATGACAGTTCTAATAGCCTAAAATAATAAATTTGCCAGAACAAGAAATGTTGGTGCAGGCATCATATAAGTATTATGAGATTCACATTATTCTTTAATCTCATGGTTTGAATCTGCCTGAGAAAAAGGCTAGGTTCATGTCAATAATTCAACAGAGTTTTTAGCACTATTATAGTATTATTGGCAATTAATCTTATGTTATGCTCTTTTCTGTCTTTATCATAAGAAGTAATACTAATTTTTCATAATATATTTACAAAGTAAAAAAATATTTGTAAGTACATTAATTATTATATTTATATAAAGAAATATATTTATTTAATATATGATTCACTTATTTAATAATTTATTATTATAAATATTTTTCAAATATATAATTGTTTTTAATGAATTAATTATTTAAGTTTTAGAAAATACTACAACATAGGAATAATTAATTATTTAATTATTAATTGGACCCATCAATGTGGCCAAGTACATTGACACGCGCAGTTTCATCTTTCCTCGGATCTTCTACGTCAAAACGATGACTAACATTTAAATCCACTAATTTTTTTATTCAACAAAGAAACAAAAACTGATGAAAGAAAAAGGAAACATAATTTAAATTAGTATTAATATAAGTGGCCATATTTAACATCTCAAAATAAAATTTTAGAATCTAAATACTATTTTTAAAATTAATAAAATATTATATATTATAATATCAAATAATCAAAATTAATTTATTAAAATTCATTGTTAATTTTTTTTTATAGAATATATAATACAAATGAATATAAGTATAAGAGAAATTACGAATATCTTATTAGTGTACTAATTAATATATTTAAAAAAAATTAATAGGTAATTCTTATAAATATGAACATAATCAAAGATAATGGAAGTTGAAATTCTGCAGATGCATAGTAAAAAAATGGATTAACGTTATCTCACGTTTCTTCTCATCTTTATAGAATTATATGTTGATTTGGTTGTAGGCCCCATTTTTTGTTTTCGTTTCTTCCGTTCCATTCACTATAGAATTTTCAAACGATGCATCAGTAGTGCGCACGCTTGCATGTTCTGACGATTTACTGCGCAGGCGATGCGCATGGAGATAACCTACGCATCGCCAAGTTTCTCCGACCTCCCAGCCGTCGTTTCCTCTTCAATGCCGTCGCCGTCGCCGTCGCCGGCGACCTCCGCGCGCCCTATCAGGGTCATTCCTCTTCAGCATCCGACCGCTGCGTCATCGTCTCCGCCGCCAAACGTCGCGTTCTCGCGGTGGACGGCGAAGCTCCGGCGAATGACGTGGCTCGAATGGATCGAGTTCTTCCTCCCTTGCGTCCGTTGGATTCGCATCTACAAATGGCGCGAGTATTTCCAGGTCGATCTCATGGCCGGCATCACCGTCGGCGTCATGCTCGTTCCTCAGGTGATTGATGCCTGTGTTCTGAGCTTTTGAATTGCAAGCTCTTTTATCTTTATTTGTAATTCTTATTGAGTTTAAGCTAATGTTGTTCTTTGTTTTCGCAGTCTATGTCATACGCAAAATTAGCTGGGCTTCAACCTATATATGGACTCTGTAAGATTGCTGAACTACTATGCTGTTACTGAATTCTCTGGATTATGCTGTAGTTTAAGCACCGCTTCGTATCTAAATTTGTTTGAAGTATAATATTCTAGTACTTTATTTTTCCTGGTATAATTTGAACTAGCTTCCGATTTTTCTCATAAATGCAATTTTCCGTGCTGTAATCGTAAAAATTTTGAAGAGTGAAGTTTGGTATGTTAAATATCTTGAGTGATTAATAATTACGGATTGGAAGGATTTTTTGAATAAGAATCATCAGTGATTAAGTGGGAAAAAGTTGCTAGAGGTCGTGAACTGCTTTTTTTTTTTTTTTTGAAGAATTGGAAGAATGGATTAAGGGTGGAAATTAAAGGTAAGAAGAATGATACCATATCAAACCAGTTAAATATGCAAAGTGAATATTATACGCCATATCTGCCTTAGCATGTCTCAAAGTTTTATT